TGTTCATTTGTTGTTTTGTTGGATTATTTGAGGCAAATATTAAAACTGTTTTAATGAAAATATCCATAATATATTTTGATTAAATTTACGAACACACGTTTAGTTGGAATGGCAATTAACAAAATGTAAATAAAACATTTTATAATATAAAAACAGATGTAAAACGCCCACAGGCCAGGTGGAGTGACGATTTGCGCAATATGGCTGGCAGGAGCTGGATGCGAAAAAGCCAAAAGCAATGGGAGAGGCCTATGTCGAGCAGTGGACTGCGATAGGTTGATGATGATGATGATTATATAAAATTATACCTAAATCCTTTGGGTTCATCATCAATCATCAACAGCCTTTAATAGTCCACTGCTGGACATAGGCCTCTCCTTAGAAATGAGGTTTTGGTTTATTATACCACGCTGGCCAGACAGGTTGGTATAGGGTTTGTGTTAAGTTTTCTTTCTTTTTTAGTGCTGGTGTCCTGCGTTGTTTTGCGCCCTTAGTCTTCTCATACGACACCCACGGGATGAATTGGGGTAGTGATATTCCGTATTCTTAATCCGTCACTACACGGATAGGACCTTTGGGTTAGTAGTTAGTGATTCTGACCACTAAACTAACTCTCGAGTTCGATTCAAACTTAAGAGGAATGAAATAAATATGTCATCATCGTCCACATCCTTCTGCTGGACAAAGGCCTCTTCTTAGAAAGGGTTGGTTTGTTTCAAGTTTTCCTTCTCTTTGCAGTGCTATTATCCTCCATAGTTTGCAGTCTTAGTCAGCTCTTATGACACCCACGGGACGAATAGGAATGGTGTCATCACACGTGATGGTGACATACCTTCGGAAATAAGTGTGTGATAAATATAGATATATTTCTTTACAGTCCTTTCTTTCCTATGCGGAACTTCCCTCGGATACCACCTACCAGTAGAGTGGTTATGTCGGACTCGATCTGACTAAAAACGCGTCAACGCGTTTGTGACGCCTGAGTTGCAGACGTTCACGGGTGAAGATGGTCACTTTCCATCAGGTACCCGCTCTATAATAAAAAAAGAAAAAAGTTTCAAAAAAGTTTAAAATCAAGAATTTTCTTGATATAGTTTCAAATTCAATAAGATTACGTAAGACCCCTGATAATACTTCATTGAATACTTAAAAATTCATAGGTATTAAGTTTCTTCTGTAAATGTTTTACTCAGAAATTTATAGAAACTATAAAAGAAAATCACTACCCATTGATTATGTAATTATCTTCGCTTTTCAAATATGTAAAGTGCTGCCTCCATTTAAGAACAATTATACTAATAAGTAGCGCTGAATGGAGAAGTTCACATGCTATATTGCAAGATATATACACAAGAAATATATAGCACGTTCCTTTTAGACAATACTAATGTTTCGCAATAGGATTAAATGGTTCGATTTTATGAATAAAAACTTAAATTAATGTTATGGATTCTATATCCACTGCTGGATACACTCGTATATAGGTATCTCCATAGAAAGGAGGTTTTGGTCTACTATACCACAATGTCTATCGCTTAATATTTCACGTACATATATTACACATTACACATATTACACATTACATTACACATTACATTACACATATTACATTGGGCGTCACAGGCCTTCATGGGTACCCGTCTGCTCATCTGCGTTCCTTAAAAAAACTGAAAACTCGAAAAGTTCTGTGACGCCTTTTTCCAAAACTTCAAATAATTTTTATCTCATGTTTTTGAGTTCTTCGTGATGAAATGATGATTCTTATTTGTTTGAAAAGTCAACTTAAACAATCACTTTAAACAATCTTTTTTTATGGTATAAGGGGGCAAACGAGCAGACGGGTCACCTGATGGTAAGCAACTACCGTCGCCCATGGACACCTGCAACTCAAAAGTCACAAGTGCGTTGCCGCCCTTGGAGTCCCTCTCGCACGAGTCAGCGGGAGGGGGGATTTAGGCTACGGTAACCTCACTCACTCAGTGAAAGGCAACGAAAGAATTGCTTACCACCGGTTTTCTATTTGCACAGTCAGTAATGGAGGAAATGAAGTTATGGTTTAAAACGGTTTGTAGTGACAGCCAGTTTCCAGATTACGAGAAAATTCTGTACGTTGCTTTCACAAATGGAGTCTTGAGATTGTTTATTACACCTCCTCATAATATTAATTTATTATAATACTTTCAATTTCTGAAATTAGATAAACAAAGTTGTAGAAATAACCGATAGCAATATTATAAATTATCTTTAGAAATTCATGTACGCTTCGACCAATTATCCTACAAAGGAACACCTAAAATCCACTATTAGTAAATTCAAATAAATGGGAACTCACAAAGTTCTCTTGAATTTAACAATCTAAAAAAACTGTCATCGTAATACCAGGAGAGCAGAACAATATTGTCTGCACAGATGGCGTAGTGTTTTAAGTGGTCGCCACGCCGCTTACTATCCCCACATGGGACGACACTTTGTGTGATCCACAAATTGTTGTTCTGAGGCTGGGTGTTCTTTGTGTCTGTTTATGTATGTTTGTAAAGTCCGCCGCGACACAGGATATATTCCTAATGCGGGAGTTTAAAACTAAATTTCAAATTTAAAACAGCTAATTACTGATACCACAATTCTAGAAACTACATTTCCACAATCTATAATTAGGGAATTAAAATGACGAGTAACCACATCAGCAGTATTTGATATGAATGACGACCTAAAGGCGTAGTGGTTTGTGTAACGTACTGCTATTCCAAAGGTTGCGGGATCGATTCCCGCTCAAGTCAAACATTTGTGTGCATGGACATTTAATGTTTGATTTGGTCTGGGTGTTTCCATGTATAATAAGTATGTATTTACAAAAAAAAAGTATATATGTATTTATATCATTTGTCTGGTAGCCATAGTACAAGCTCTGCTTAGTTTGGGGCTAGATGGCGTTGTGTGAATGTGGTACAATATTATTATTATTATATAAATAGATTGTCCACTCACCTCCAGAGCGGCGGTCGTACAATACTCTAACTAACTAGCCTTCCATAGAATCGCCTAAACTGACACGGTTCAATCAAGTCGTTGTTGCCCCAGCCTCCTACGATATGGAAATACAATCTACATATTCAAGATGGTATTATTGTTGCCTATAAAGACCAAATATCAAGATTATTTATTGCAAAAGTAGATAGACGAGGTGTGTATTTAATTTTCTGGTAGTTTTGTTTTATTGTCCCCACTTATATAGCGTCTAATAGTATTGGACTGCATGGATGGTGTCCAATACTAGTAGACTACTAATATTATTTATTTTTATTAGTACAACTCCTTGTCATCATCATCCTTTAATAGTCCACTGCTGGACATAAGCCTCTCCTTAGAAAGGAGGTTTTGGCCTACTATACCACACTGGCCAGACGGGTTGGTATAGGGTTTGTGTCAAGTTTTCCTTCTATCTGCAGTGCTGTTGTTCTGCGTAGTTTTTTTCCCTTAGTCGGCTCTTACGACACCCACGGGATGAATAGGGGAGGTGACACTCTGTAATCTTAATCCGTCACCACACGGACAGACACCAACTCCTTGTGTGAACCACAAATTATTGTTCTGGACTTCATAGAGCAGGAGTTGTCTTTTAAAAAAAAGTATACGCACTTCATTTAGTAATCAGAGTTTTAGCCCTCCGTACCAAGAATTCTTACAATCATTGTACAGAATTTTAGACCACGAGAGGAAGATTATCAGGAGGATACATTGCACCTTTACGCACTGTTGTGTTAAGATGGTAACGATTCTCCGACACACATACAACACATTTTCTTTTAATTGTATGTGTATTGTTATATAGAATAAGCACTTATAATTTTTTATGAAATAAGTATTGTTGTGTGTATTTGCCAGTTTTACTAACAAGTTACGTCACAAGACCCTCTGTATGTTGAGAATTCTTTGCCATTAATGTAAAGAATTTCACCAACGAGAGGGACAGTATTGGGGAGGTAATGTACCATCTTGTCGATTCGATCAAGATGGATGTACCCTCCCTACAAACCATTACAATGCAAATACATACTCGTAGTATGTTACTTTTAACTGCATTAACTGCCTGCAGTTAAACTTTAAACGTTTAAACTCCACGGTACTGAGGGCTTAGTGTGAGTTTATTTTACATTAACTATTTGACTACCGAATGGCATAGTGGTTTGTGTAACGGACTGCTATTCCAAAGGGTCGCGAGTTCGATTCCCGCTTGCATGAACATTTAATGTTTGATTTGGTCTGGGTTGTTCTATTTATAATAAGTATGTATTTACAAAACAAAACAAAAGTATATATGTATTTATATCAGTTTGTCTAGTACTCATAGTACAAGCTCTGCTTAGTTTGGAACTAGATGGCGTTGTGTGAATGTTGGGCCAATATTATTTATTTATTTTATTATTAACTCGATCATCACGGTTACTGCGTTGGGCGTTGTGATTGGTCGAGAGTTCAGTGGGGCGATCGAGTTGATGTAAAATAAACTCACACTGGGCCTTCTCGTTATTAGCTGCGGGAGAGCCATGTTTCTTCGTCTGACAAATTCTTTATATGATATTCAACGCATCAGGCTGTCAGTAGAAGTATATGTTATATATAAAAAACCTTACAAAATACTCCCAAAGAGACTTGAGTTTTATCATCATGTAATGTTATGTGTTTTGTTTTCTTAGATGCACAAAATACATAACAATCTAAATTTGCGATACAACAATATAGTTCTGCACTGGATCATAACGTAAATAACATGTGTATACAGCCAGTTTATGTTACAAATAGAGAGAATTGCTAGTAGGCGTTTTCAAGTACAGAGAATTAGCATTGCTATTTAACATGGCAGTACTGTGTACAATGTTAGCCTTCTGCAAACTTTTTGACTCTTGTATGTAAATGGAATCTTATTTTGTTACATATTTTTAATGTTACCTTTTAAGCTCTAAAGGCATGTTTATTAAAGTGCTGATGTTTTTTGTGAATAGTGCACAGATTCCTTGGCGCAAGCTCACAAGGAACTTCAGCTGACTGTTGTGGATGTTGACAAAACGAAGAAGTTGTACTTCGATGAGGAGCACACTGCTCATGATGTTCGGGACAAGGCCAAAGACATTGAAGAGAAGTAAGTATTAAGAATGATGCATTTCATTCGTTCACTTTTAAGGAAGGCAAGGCCCCGTCCGCATAGCGGACCGCCCGTTTTATTTCGAAAAATTCTGTAAAAAATTCGCGCGGGCGAAACTGTAAAAAAAAAAAATACAGGCGGTAAAAAATTCGCGCGAAAAAAAATCTGTGATTTGATACAAAATGAACGCGAGAATTTTGCCAAAAAAATAACGCGAGGTAAAATATCGCTGTGCGGACGGGGCCTTGTATTATGACACAGATATTACTGAAAGCATTGATATTAAAGACAACATAAATATATTAAAAAGACCAAAACCATAAGACTCTCTTCCCGATATATATTAAAATACATTGCTTACCGCTTTTTTTTCACGTTTGTAAATCGTTTTTCGGCATTTTAACAGATGATTAGAAGATCGACAGATTTCGTATGGGAGTTAGTACCCATTTTTGACGACCGAATGGCGTAGTGGTATGTGTAACGAACTGCTATTCCAAAGGTCGCGCATTCGATTCCCGCTCAAGTCAAACATTTGTTTGCATGAGCATTTAATGTTTAATTTTGGTCTGGGTGTTTCTATGTATAATATGTAAGTATTTACAAAAAAACGTATATATATACGAGTATTTATATCAGTTGTCTATTACCCATAGTACAAGCTCTGCTTAGTTGGGACTAGATGGCGTTGTGGTGAATGTGGTAGGATATTATTATTATTATTAATACGACGCGTAGCACCATACGAATAATTGCATATTATAGAATATGCATACTGTTGTAGTATGCATATTCTAAACCGAAATTATTATTCCATTTATCACCCAGAGTTTCGATGCATTAAAAAAAATAGTGTTTGAAGTGCCAACGTGCCATAATGAATAGTTGACAGGCTGTAATTGACAGTTCTGCTATTCTGCTTTTATGGTTTTGCCTATTGTCTTTAATTTCTTTCTATTGTAATTAATATAAATTCCTACTAATATTATAAATGTGAAAATACCTCTGTATAAGCTATTCCGCTTTCATACCAAACCGCTAAACCGATTTTAATGTGATTTGGCGTGGAGATATTTTGAGCATTCAGGAAGGGCTGCTCAGGATTATTGAGGAGGCTCCTTTAAATGCTGGAATGGAATGCGCGACCTTTGGATTAGCATCCGTTACACAACCACCAAGCCATCCGATAGTCGTAAATAAATATCTGTAGCAACAAAATTAGGAGAACGTGCGTGTTTGTGAAAATTAAGTTACACGTTCCTTAGGTATTCATCGATTATTTACTACTAGCTGACCCTGCAAACGTTGTTTTGCTATTTACATTATTTAAAATATATATATATATTTTTTGAATTTCTTAAAAATCCGTTCTTAGCTGACCTCTACTCGGTGAAAAGAATATGCTACCAAATTTCAAGTCTTAGCTCTAATGTTCCAGAGATATCGTGATGAGTTGACTATATACGTGGAAATCTCTTCTATATAGATATCTCTTATTATATATAGATAGAATGACCTAAGTGCGATACCCCAGTTGGACGATCGCCAGAATACCCAAAAAACCAGATAGATATTTGTATCTTCTAACTTTATTAAGGTTTCTGTGGGTATAAAGGTTTTTGGTTTTGAAGTTTGATTATCATTGGCAAAAAAAAACAGCATAAACACCGATACGACACTTGATTGTATTTAAAATATACTTTTGTTTTATTGACTTACCGCGAAATCTTACTACTACTCGTATTAGGGTTATGAACACGACCGGAGCAAGATTCGAGTTATTAAGGATCAATACGATTCCTACAATTACCTTTACATCGTGTGTTGGGTCCCCACTACATTTAATGAAACAATCACAGCATCTTTGGATTCTTGAACTACGTGCCAGGTGTAGATTAATCACAGTTAATGGCTTGGTTTGGCTTTGCTCTTAGTACAGAGCGCATTAAAATACCAATAAGCGATGTGTATAGTCCCCGTGAATCGACAACCGTTGGAACAAATACTCGTATCAGGTACTTGATTTTCATTTTACCTTGGTACCTATAGTTTATGTACGTATTCAATTTTATTTAAGCAAGTTTTTCAAACCGTTTTTAGGGTTCCGTACCTCAAAAGGTAAGAAAGGAACCCTTATATGATCACTTTCTTGACCGTCTGTCCGTCTATCCGTGTGTCACCACCGATTTTCTCAGGAACGGGTAAACCTAGCAAGTTAAAATTTATACCAGATACTGAAGTCTATGGTCCCTATTAGGTGTATAAAAAATCAAGGTCCTGAGTCAACACGATAAAAAAGATATGGGCAAAATTTCGATTGTAAAGTACAAAAAATTTACTTTAATTTTGAACTTTTTTTATTTTTCAGAATTTTTCCTACTTTACTTGTGCTGTAAGACCTTGCTTTTAACCATAATTGACAATTCTAGGTCAACCGGAAGTACCCTATAGGTTTTGGGGTCGAAAAACCTATGTATATGGGTAGTTTCCCGTTGACCTAGAATCACCGAGCACAAATAACGGAATAATTCCAAAAAATAAAAAAAGTTGAAAATTAGACGTACATTTTGGTACTTTCGCTAAAAATCTACTAAAATCTGGGGTAGGTACAGGAACCCTCCACTCGTACCTGACCGGTTATTTTAGTCTGGCGTACCATAAGCAACAAACTCTGCTTAGTTTGGCAAATGTAAATCTCAAGCTCTGTTCAATTTTCCATCTATAATCTGTAATAAATTTTATTTACGATCTCATTATACAGGCTTAAGAAAAAAGAAGGGCTTCCTTCTTCCAATCCCATTACAGTCACTGCAGAAGAACAGCGCGAAGGTGTCCTCCACCCGTCGCGATCAACTCGAAGAGAAAGTCTAACCGGAGCCAGGAACGACTACCTTCTAAGTATTGCGGCGGCAAATGCCCATCAGGTGCGTAAAAAAACAGCAACTTTCCATGAAATGTACAATCTCAAAAGAGAGGATACTTTCCTGAAAAGTTAATATTTGTTTTGTTGTATATATTATAACAATTCAGACTAAAGTTAATCGACTCTAAGACTTTTTCTTTTGAATAAAATTATTAGTGATGCTTCTAACATAATTTTAACCTTTTTAGTATATATGGTTTTATTTTAGACTGATGTCCATGATATGTGTTTGTAACCGTCCAGTCGACGTGGTCCTTTACTCTCAATGAAAAGAGACTTTGACAATGGAGGGAGATTAACAGAAATGTTACGTTACGTTTATTAACATTTCAACAGTTATAACAAATAGTTTAAACATAATTTATTCATGCTGTCTATTTACTGAAATAGATGGTAGGGTTGTTTTTTATATATATAAATAAAAAAGACTTAAAATTTCTTAAAATGAAATCTCCTTTCGGCAGAAACCGTTACTTCCTGGTGGAATTGCAAACATGCATGCAATCCATGGAGTCATCTGTTTACGGAGAAGGTATCGGAGTTCCTTACTTTGATGGGGGCGTACGGAACTGCTGACATGTTCAGCTACCCAGCATTCTTTCGGCAAGATCCGCGATCAAGCCCAACAGCTCACGAGGGAGTACAACCTGCAGTGGTGTTTATCCTCTACTATCCAGTGCTCAAACAAGCACATTCAGGTACGGACTTGAAGCTATTTTTTATGTCCGTGTGGTGACGGATTAAGAATACAGAGTGTCATCACCCCTTTTCATCCCGTGGGTGTCGTAAGAACCGACTAAGGGTCAAACCACGCAGGACAACAGCAACTGCAGAGAGAGGAAAATTTTAACACAAACCCTATGCAACTCGTTCTGGCCAGCGGGGGTATAGTAGGGCCAAAACCTCCTTTCTGAGGAGGGGTCTATGTCCAGCGTGGACTATTAAAGGCGTGTTGATGTGATGATGATGAGATAACTAAAATTAAACATACTGTTTTTTCTCTTTTTGACTTGTTATGATTCGATAAAATTTTTAAAAAGTTTCGCAAATATTGTAATTACTAACATTTCTCAAAAAAAAGAACTTCATATAATATTAAAAGACTAAAACTATCGGTGAAAGATCTGTTAATGTTAGTATTAATATGTCTTTGTTAAAAATTTTTTCCCTTGGTATTTGTGTCCAATATGTTTAGTACAGTTTATTCGATTGTTTCCCTCCAGTACATTTTCGAGGCGTTGTGACAACGACCCGATCGACACCGTGACTATTGAGCACGATCCGTTGCCCAAACACTCGCGGGTGAAGCCCGACGCTGGGCAAACCCGAGTTGTGCGAGAAACTGCTCTCGTCCGGGACGCTACCCGAAAGCTATATTTGTACCAGCTATGCGCGATGTGGGTCAAAAGGTAAGAAGGAAACTTAATAAGTATTCATCATAATTCGTGATTAAATTCATTGCAGTTTCCAAGACATAAAGCCCTAGCCTACGGGGTACTGTCTTAGAAACTGGGCAGGGAACCTGGTCCTAGGATCTTGGGCCCGGCGCGTCTTATACGTATATCTCATTAAATCTTAGTTTACTACTAAAAAAATTAAAACATTTAACCATTTTAATAAAACTTTTTGGAATTTTTAAAGATGTTTAAAAATCTAAACAAAAAACGTTCCTAATAAGATAGATTAGGTATAGGTTTGTTAATATACAAACTTTTAAGCAAACAACACCAAAAACTCATTTTACCGCTACCTTTAACGAATGTTTTGTGTACTTTAAGCTAGTCTGATGTCTTTTGTCATCTCTCATAATCATCTTCTTAGCAATGTAAATATGTTGGTGAGGAACAACGAATGATGATAGCGAAGGCTGAGGTAGAGTATCTGACCTGACTTTCGAAAGTTACTTATCTCAGAAGTCCGCTTATGGTGCTTAGCCTTTGCCTGTCAAGCAGTGCTTCAGCAGGAAGTTGGCAAACCAGTGACCACAGAAGAGGCCTTGGAAGCTTTAAAAGAAACGATTTGTGACACTACAAACTAGAAAATTAAAGTCTTGTCCGTTTTTTTTGCATTTTTTAGCTTTCAGGATAATTCTTGATATTAATGACGTAAAACTTTGTTAATTAATTGTGATCATCAATGGAATAATAGGATAATAGTTTATATTTTAGAGTATTTCCATTCATTTAAAGAAAAGTCAATCGATGATACTATCTAGAATTAATTCAATCAATTAATCTATACCAACTGCTGCCCATATACCTTTTATATAATAATTAATATAATAATTTCACACATCTCACACAGCGGCCGTCTGATCCCAAACTAGGCAGAGCCTGTACTATGGTAATCAGACTGCTGGATGAAACATACTGTATATATTTCTAAATACATACATAATATAGATAAATTACACCCAAACACAGAACAAATGATCGTGCTCGTCACACAATTATTTGTCCTGGGTGGGAATCGAACCCACGACCTCCGACTTAGCAGTCAGGGTCACTAACCACTAGACCAACAGGCCCGTCTAATATATTATCCAATTGAGCCAATAGAGCATTTGACGGGGATCCTGATAAAGTTTTTTTTTTTTACCAGGTTGACCCCAAAGTGACCCCAATGGGCCGGAGCTTGAAGTCCGTATGGACGAGTTACGCTCTAACATTAGACGTTCGAAGACTTCGAAGGCAAAATATGAGTCCCGTTTAAGAATGCTTGCGGGTTAGTGGCGCTCCAGTTGATGAATGGTTGAAGGAAATTGATCTTCTAGCAGTTCAAGATGGTTTCTCTACCTCGGAGCAGCAGTCTTCCCAGCGTGCGCACTGATGCTTCAGGAGCTGCTGTGAGTCAAAACATAGTTTGCCAATTTTTTTTTTTTTTTTATTTATTTATTTGGTCAGCCAACGATTATAACACTAAACACTACAGAATTAACTTAAAAGACTAAACACGTGTGTATTTAAAATAACAGTTTTTACAAGTTTGAAATAAAATAAATTCAGGCAGTCTGATTCCATCCGATGCCAGCCACTATCTTCAAATCGTCGGTCCATCTTTCGATATCTTTTAATATCCGTCGTTTAATATTCAAACCTATTTTCCCGCTAGGATCAGCCAAGCTCCGACTCATTTTATGACAGCGATAACACCGAGGGCGAAGGAGCATCAGCTGCAGCTCCTATGGCATCCAGCAGCCACCAGCGTACCACCTCCGGCTCACAGGGCGAAGAAGACCACGATGAAGAAGTTGACGGTTAGTACTTAAACATGAATAACTCTTGAGCTCCGATCGTAGCATTTCAGGGACTACCAAGAAAATAGGGTTTCATACATAATAACCCATTATCATCAAAAGATTTTTGCGATTTCAACCAAGTATTGGACATCCACTATTATTCAAAAAAAAAATCATATGAATAATTTTTGACTGCACGGATGGCGTAGTGGTTTAAATGGTCGCCACGCCGCCTACTACGCCTAGTGTTTGTGGGTTCAAACCCCACACGGGACGACACTTTGTGTGATCCACAAATTGTTGTTCTGAGTCTGGGTGTTCTTTGTGTCCGTTTCATGTATGTTTTGTAAAGTCCCCCGCGACACAGGATATATTCCTTATGCGGGAGTTGTCTTTTAAAAAGAAAAATAAATAAATCTACAAGCCATGTTTAGGGCGTGAGGAGAGATAGTCATCTATACTAATTATGTCCTTAAGTCTGAACCTGCAGATGTTTGTGTATATACAAGTCATTTCCACACTCATATTTATTATCTTACTGTACCTAGCTGTCCTGGAGGAAGAGCGTATGCGTATAGAACAGTTGACTGTCGGATGGGACGATCCAACCCAGGTGAACTGGGGGCGAGCCCGAACAAAACAGCCGCAGCTGAGTCGGTTGAGCCACCAGCACCTCCGCTGTACAAAATGTACTGCTTTGTATTCATACACGGTGAGTCTGAAAATTTGTCTTAGAAGTGAAAACATCCTAAGGTTAAAAGCCACTCGATGTCTGATCAACACAGTGCCCTTTACAAATGCAGCACTTCGAAAGTGGCTCCTAACAGTGACGAGAAGGAAGTCTGGACATTATATACATATATATCATCATCAAATTACCTGTACTTTTCACTGCCAATCCTCCTTGGTAAAATTGGGAAGGAAAAGAGAGATAGAAAGTGAGAGGTATTGGGTTAAAGGACATCGTAAATTACGAATGTGGAAAACAAGATGGAGATCCTTATTTCTATCTTGTTATAGGAGATTGCCACCAAGATAAGGACAGTAGTACACTCGGACCTTTTTATCTAAGGACGTACCTGCATTTTGCCAACTGTAATTTGGTTTTACTTTTTTTTTAATGTTTGGATTTAGGCTCAAAAACCCTGACGAGCTGTCCATTATTGAGAGTGAACAGCTTGAGGTGGTCGGTGAAGGCGATGGTGGACGGATGGCTCCGTGCGAGGAACTACCGTGGCGGAGGAGGGCTACGTCCCCCATAACTATCTGGACGTGGAGCGCGAGCAGGTATGTCCAAGGATAAAGGATAGAAGGACTCGAAGAAAATACATTTTTCCGTTCTGATTTGTTTCATTTGAAAATGGGAACGAATATAATCATAATTCTAGAAGATGAAATTGCAATTATAACCTATTGTTAGTTTTTATTTACGTTGTCAATTAATTGTTACTAAATAAAGATATTTTATTCATGCATTTCTGTTGAGTGTTTATTTCAAGTTGCATTTTTACGAGATCGTCCTTAAGTGAAGAAGTCTTATTGAGTACTGAACGGGATACGTGACCGAAGTGTGGACAACATTACGTTCACTTTGCGACTCAGCGGTAGACTATACGTCAAAGATACGTCGTCTGAGAACGTTGTACAGTTTTGATAATATTTTCTTCATATTTCTTTAAATGATCAGATCAGAAAGAGTGGGAAAATGGAGTAGACACATATAGAAAAATAAATTCCAAGTAAATTTGTGTCTAGAAAATGTTTCTGAAAAGTATTAAACCTAATCCCTTCTGTATTAAGTTTATGTTGTATTCTTATTAGTTTAATGCAAAAAATATATGCAATACTTGTATTTAAACATTTAAATCATTACTTAACGCAATTTCATCATTCATACTGTTTGGACCGTGATTACGCAATGCTATTTTCATTTTGATAAATCCGTCAACTAGGCTCTTTTTGTTAAATTGATGAGATTAGAGTCTATTAATTCCATTATAAATAATCCTACACAAAACTAAGTTCAGAGTGACTTCGAGTTATTCATCATCATCATCAACAGCCTATAACAGTCCACTGCTGGACATAGGCCTCTCCTTAGAAAGGAGGTTTTGGCCTACTATACAACGCTGGCCAGACGGGTTGATATAGGGTTTGTTCAAGTTTTCCTTCTCTTTGCAGTGCTGTTGTCCTGCGTAGTTTTGCTCCCTTAGTCACCTCTTATTATTTTATTTTATTATTATTTATTTATTAATATGATCTTAGTTAGAGTTATTAATGTGATCATTTATTTTTTTGTTTTATTTTCTCTTTTATTAACGACACAACAATGCATATGTACCGAAGATCTATATACCCAAAAGTATTATATAAATATCATCATCATGATCATCAGCCTATCGCAGTCCACTGCTGGACATAGGCCTCTCCTATTGCACGCCACTTAGATCGATTTTATTTTTCCTATATAATATATAGGAATATAATTTATCCTACAGTAAATGTGTGTCAATGAACAATCCAAATCTAGTTCCGAGGAGATTTGAACGGGGATCTTAGTGTATAAAGATCATTCATTACTATAATTGTTTTTAAATATAATATAAAATATAAACCCTAAAAATATACTATCTTTTTTCTTTTTTGTATTCACCAAGTATTCACCTTGTTATATTTTAATCACCATACCTGTGTATGGAAGAACAGAGCCTCCTTACACAGGCAATGTTATGTCTAAAAAAGGAGTACTCCAACAATTTTTTGTCATTAAAGTTGAGTTGATGGAAATAAATCCTTTTTATTTATTTATTCATTTATCTACAAAATTAACAGGTCGCTTGTATCTTCATTGCGTATATATTCCTAAAAAAAAAGTAAAATAAACTTTAACTGGATCTGGATTTGTGTATTTCTGCAGTGAGTAAATATGTAAGTCCACTGTAAAATTCAATAAAGCACCTTTAGTGTTGAAGCACACGTGTAATTCTCCTTCAAAAGACAGCTGGTAACACCTACATTTTTCTTTCACCAGACATCCAGTGCCCCAGGGTTGGTCAGTCAAATTTCTTTCTCCTCCGTTGACTACACGGTGGAAGGAGAAGATGCTGAAGTAGTACAGTCTCCCAGACCAAATCTCCGTGATATCGGCTCCTACCGCTAAGCAAGAGGAACCGAAAGAAGAACCCAGAGTTGAAAGCAGTCGAAGCTGAACCGCAGTTACCAACACTTGGCTACTGCTTCGCCTTGTACGATTATGATGCTGAAGCATCTGATGAGCTTAATCTTGAAGAAGGACAGGTGGGTTTAGCTTTTCTCTGTTTTTTATTTAAAAAAGGCAATACTTCTGCTTGAATTGGCTTTGGGATCAGGGCAGGATATCTATCACGGTTAACCGACACATTTTTGTACAATAGCTTTGAGGTGGAAAGCAGGATTGGTGCGAGACATGTCTTTAGTTTTTTTTTTTAGTTTAGTGGGGTAAACAAACTATATCACAATAATAAATGGTTACAAAAGAGCTTTAAGCTATACATTATTGCTAATTGTGACATCCACACCGTTTACCACAAGTATGATGTATACACTATTTTTAGCAGGTTGAGAGTATTACAGACAAATGTACATTTTTCAATATTATGTATTATAAACATATTAGTTCATAGTGTCATGCAGTTCTCTCATTACTAGGTTTCTGTAAACGCTCACACTATTTACTAAAATTCAATGTGACTAAAGCTGCAGTTGTAAATTTGATATGCTTTTGTAATCTGTATAACTATAAGGTCTCGAATCCAGAATCTTTGAAGCCCATCGGTCATCTATTTGGACCAAAAATACCATCAAAGAACATTTACCTAAGAGGTGGACAAATGACCCTTATACAATTCGCAAGATGTCGGTAGACTGCAACGGATGGCGTAGTGGTTTAAGCGGTCGCCACGCCGCTTCCTACTGCGCCGAATGTTATGGGTTCAAACCCCAACATGGATCGACACTTTGTGTGATCCACAAATTGTTGTTCTGAGTCTGGGTGTTCTTTGTGTCTCGTTTCATGTATGCCCGTAAAGTCCCCCGCGACACAGGATATATTCATAATACGGAAGTTGTCTTTTCATATGTATGTATTCCTATGTTGTATGGAATGTATTCCTACTGCGGGAGTTGTCTTTAAAAAAAAAAAAAAAAAGATGTAAACCTTTGAACTGATCTTCTTGAAAAGCATTGATTGAGACATACGTCCATCAGTCTTTTAGCTGAAATGCTTTTAGCTTCAGCTAATTTTAACATATTAAAATTACAAGTGACTGATGATGATTGATGATATGTTAAAATTACCTACATGCTTAATTATTACTTTATAGCAACTGATGCTAACATTTATTGATAACTAGCTGTACCCGACATACATTGCAATGCCACATAATGTAAAGTATAATGAAACGAGAAAATCATTTATATATTGTTTTTTTGGGCCAGGAACCCTCGCGGGCGTCCCTAGAATACCTTACCAAATTTTCATCACAATCTGATCAATGGTTTCGATTTACAAATTTCAAACATTAATTTTTATTCATATAGATGGGACAAAAATTCCTTCCATTCCTCACACATACCTATAACTAAATTTAACGTACATATAACTAAATTCAACGTACATATAACTAAATTCAATTTAAAAGACTTGAAATATATTTCATCAGAGAACGAGACAGGGAATTGTTATTACGTTTAAGATGTTTTCACTAATTAACAGATCATACGCATCGTGTCTCGAGATGCTCACGGCGTGGACGACGGCTGGTGGCGTGGTGAAGCCAACGGCATATTGGGCAACTTCCCATCCCTGATTGTCGAGGAGTGTGATGAGGTGGGTGGTACATTTTGAGATTATAAAAGACACAATTTATAAATTATATATAAATATTTTGGGATTAAACTCAACTAGTGAATTATTGTAGCCACTAGCTGTAAGGATAGTTGCTGTCCCCGATGAAGGTTATATTTAACCGACCAGGATTTGTGAAATCGTCATTACCTATCAGTTTTCCTTACAGAAGTCTTTCCTGGTGGGTCGCGTTATGAACCTTTAGTTATAGGGCAATCGGGAGACTGCAGACTGGTCCATCTTAGGCCTTGTAATAGGGATATAAATGTATATGACTCTTTTGACTTTTTAGGATCCGGGTATATCAGGGTGTAAACAAACTTAAATAAAACGGTTTTATATTGTTATTATGTCAGAACGGCGAGCCACTAAGCGGCATTGAAGACTGGACACCTCCCGAGTCTGCGCCCCTCGTATTTGCTTCACCACCGGGTACCCCACCAGGGCAGGAAGATGAGAGTAAGCACTTGTGCAATTTTTTTTGCATAGTTTTTGCTTGTATGAATGGGACAACTTTATTACCATTTTCAAGTTAATTTTAAAGCCTTTTGCAGTAATTTTATTTCGGCCACTATATTATGATATATATTTTTACTCAGAAAGAATAAGAAACATGTACATTAATAACATAAATTAATACACACAATCTTTTTGAAACAAAATCTTAATCACTTTTTAACTTATCACTTTAAAGTAATAGGCAATGAAAAAAGCAATGCATTTTTTACATATAGTTAAGTTAAGTTAAGTAAGTTGTGTTTGCAAGTATTTTAAAACATATCCACATTTTTTTTTATATCTGAGTTTGTCCTCATTCGGCCTGAAATATGTGCAAAAAAATATTAAGATAATTTTTGTCACATTGTGTGAACTTAGTGAGTAAAATGTTAGCTTTGGCTGATTGAATAAAAAGTAATATCGTGGTTTGGTTCCCAGTTGGCAATGTCGCACGGTCTCTACGTCAGACACCACATCTAGATGTCAGTTGCATGTTTTGCACGGATATAGATAATACTAATGTATTTATGCAATAATCTTTGCCAATGTAGTATGACATGGATTAGTCTAGCATTTATGGAGGGTAGAGGCACTGTACCATCTTGCATAACGGTCATTATATATTAAAGGATCATAATAGTGAATAATAGTTCAAGAACCGACCACAGTGGCGCTGGTGTAGCCAAAGAGAATAGTATGAAGTTAGCAATAATAGTCAATTGTAGTTTGGACGCTGTGAAGTTCGCTGACTTCAACTATTCATTCTATGCTTTTTGGCCATTTAATAAATGATTAAACATTAATATTATACCTCTTATGATGAAATTGCAATAAATCCACTGTATATTATATTTATTTATTATTATTTTAATGGATTTTTATATTTACAATTCAACCAATTTACTCGTACTTCTAACTTTACTGGGACCTCCCAAGTGTCATTAACTTGGTGTGTTCGTGGGTCACTGCAGTTACAGTAGTAGGCGCTATGGGAGGATTTAGTCCATCTTCTTATCTTGATGATCTTAAAATCATTTAGGGAGGCATCGTCTGGTAGTGAACGTCTGCCTATAGTAGCTACACCTAATTATGGCGTCCGACGGACACTTTGCACATACAGAGATGGTACTCTTTGCCTAGATCTTTCATACCAATGCTCTTTACTTTCAGATATTAGTCAGTACAATACAGTAGTGGACTGTTAAGTAAAATTAGTTTTTTATTTTAAACGTCAAAACCATAGGTTCTGTGGAAATTATAAGAAAATAATGATTTGTGACGTCATCTCTTGCTATATTCTTCATCAATAATTTGGGTTCCCGGGAGCTAAAAATCCCCCTCCCGCTGACTCGCCCGAGGACCCAGGGCGGGCAAACGCATTGTGACTTTGATTTGCGATTCCCATGGGGGGGGGTATTTGCTTACCATCAGGTGACCCGTCTGCCCTTTTGCCCTTTATAATACAAAAAAAAACAGGTCAGTTTATTGCAAAAAGTGACCATCTTTTTTTCTGTCCCTTGAAATTCTTAAATGGTATTTTAAAAACACAATAAAATTTCGCTGCAGTAAAAATACCCACGGGTTATAGTGCAAATTAGTAGGGGGGGATAATCCTAAATTCTCTTTAAAAATTTATTGGAAAGTGAAATTATTTTAAAAGAATAATAATAATAACTCCACATCTCCCCGGCCGTTTGACCCCAAACTGGCAGAGCCTGATATCGTAACCAGACGCTGAAAACCCTTTTATAAAAATTTTTAATATATACATTTTATAGATAAATTACACCCAGTACAAACAAAGACCCCTTTCACAAAAATATTTGTTTTGGGGGGAATCGAACCCAGCCCCTCTAACATCAGGGCACTAACACTAGACCAAACGGCCCCCTCTTTAAAATCTTTACAAACGAATATTTCTTCGAAGCTTTGTCCTCTGTTCCGGTCAAATTGAACGACAAAATTCAAATTTAACAAAATATTTAAACATACATAAAATATTTTCTGTTTATTTTTGTAATTTACGAAGTGTGGAATGTCGCGGTTATGTATAATTATCTTTGACTGTACTACAGAAATATTAACCTTTAGTACCGTTAAGGTTTTTATTTCTAGATTATATTAGACACAAAACATTATATTTATTGTTTCATTGATGTCTGGCTTGCAACGTATTAAATTTGTTTTCGAAATCACCACGCAATGGAAGATTGTCATTGATTCTCTCCTGAATGAACTTTGCTACTTAAAACAATATAAATGAATAAGGATAATATGTGTTAAAAATATTCGGTTTGAATATCTGACAATCACTGGGAACACTACCAAACCAAAAATTGGCTCGAATGATCGAAATTTGCAATGCGAATTGGCTACGTTGGTGTTGGCTGAAATGTTTGTACCCGTGGACGCTGCCAGTGCTCCTGAATGACAACAACAACACCAAAGGTGGCGCTCCTCCCATGTCCCGCCGCCCCCGCCGCCGACCGACCTCAGCGACTCAATGGATAGCCAGCCCGACTTCAGTTTTAATCTAGAACTCAGTAGGAATCACCATGAGCAGTATGGGCTGCAGTTCGGTGAAGTAGCTCCTGCGGTCACCATCGTTGGTAAGTTTCGTGATCAACGTATTATCCAGGTAAAAAACACTGTATGGTAGGCTTTATTAACATAAACACACTTCAATTCTAAAACATTCTAATGTAAATAACAAAAACTTTCTGTTCCAGCATCTTTTTAACAAAAGATCAGTCTCAATGTTAACCTGTGTTGCTAACTGAAGTCACTTCTCTAAGCAATTATTAGTAATTTTAAAAGTAGTTTTAAATGTTGATGATTGTTATTTAGTACCAATATTTATAGAAACTTGTAAGTGAGGAAGCAATATGAACTATTTCATTCTGCCTTTAAGGAGTTTCCACGCACGAATATTTAAAACATGTAATGTGCTTACTTGGCCGCAAGACTTACTAGTACGAAAAAAGCTACAAAATATCAACACAGCGCTGTGAAAAACTTAAATACAATAAAATGTTTCACAATAATAGACTAAAAATACACACAATACATTAAAGACAACAAGCAAAGTACCAAATTAATAACATAACTTATCATATTTAAAAAATTTATATTTGACGCAACACACGATATTAAATGAATATCTTTCCTCGTAGTCGTATTAAAATATAACGCCTAATGTCATTTTACGAACGAATTAAGTGTACAATATAAATTCACCGCATTCGTAAAAGGAATAAGTAGAGGTTTTTTGTTCAATAAATATTTTTTTCGGTCAATTATTTAGCGATAATATGAAATAACCGTTAATTTTTTTAGTAAAATGTAAGCGTTTACACTCATTATCAAAGACCTATGTCCAGCAGTGAAATAATCTAATTACTAAGATCATTTGTATGTCTAGGTAAACTGACAAAATTATGAAAGCGTAAAAAAAAAAGTGTCCAACTGTGGGCTTACTAGGTCCTTTTTGCTGTGTGTGGCAGCTAAAACGCTCAATTTGCACGCACACCGGCATAAATAAACGTGGCCCATTTGTTTTACTGCCACACTTTATAGAGACATACAAATGATCTGAGGCTAACTGATTTATTGATTAACCAAGCATATAAACTCGTTTTTTTCTTTGTTTTAAATAATATGCCTTACTTTTTAAATACGTCCATATAACTAATTTAAAAGTATAAAAAAAAAAGATTTCGGCTGGTTAAAGTTCCAGAGACAGCAACCTCACTATAAAGTGAATGTGTAGTGAGTATCATATCAAGAAGTAAAGACTTTTACATGAGGCGATATCACATTAATAAATCCCATCACTCTGCGCTTTTCTTAAAACTTTTTGCCTCGTACAACCAATTTGTAAAACTAAATGTTCCATGAGGTATTTCCATAAACGACCTTCAAACCTGCCAAGGCTGCCAACACTGCCAAACATTTAACACTAGTTAATGAATACTTAATACAGGGCATAAAATATAACAGCTAACACTATTTGTAAATAGTATGCGTTGGCTTTGTCGTCCCTTGGCTATCCAATAAACATAATATGTAATATTTGTGAAGAGAAAGACCAGCCGAGACTTAAACACAATCTAAGCTCGCTCTGCTGATGTTTTCTATTTGTTTACGCTGTATTATAGCCAATCATTCTTTTGTTATAAAGGAGAATTGTCAATGTTACTGTATGTTATATGTTCAATGTATTGTTGGTTAACTAAATGTGAATTCTTTTCCATGCTTCAGTCGACGAGGTTGTCGGAGATAACAATTGGGATGAGGTTTGGCCCTGTCATAGAATACCTACGTCTGTCCCGTCTTGTACAATTGACTAGTGGCTTGCAAAGCTTGTATCGAGTAGTTCGTTGCTGTTGTTTGTTTTATGCCTCTTTTCTACTTTTAACAGCAAGTAATACTTTTTTTATTATCTCGTACTGAAGTCTGAACTTTCATTCAACCTCCATCGTAGTTCACGTCCTCATAGCATGTCGCTTCATGGTGCATGACTCCATTTACTTAACTCTTTCGAATTTCTTCGAGTGGTATCTTTAGAAGATATTAACGTGGATAATAAGGGCCTCCTTTCTGTAGGACGACGAAGAACCCCCGCTCCTGGTGAGGGCACCGGAGCCCCCGACAGTTGAGCTGCCACCGTCAGATGACTGCGGGCTCGGTGTAGCGCAGATCGTCATCACAGCCGCGACACCGATGATAGAGGAGCCAGATCAGCCCTTCCCGCCGCCTGCGCCCGAGGCGGAGGCCGACGCCGAGATCGAACAGGACGCCCAGACGGAGCCACAGAACGAGGAGAACGACGACGACGAGTCGTCGCTGTCGGAGCAAACTGCGGTCTGTCTCAGAGATTCGGACGAGGGTCCGGCCGACTCAGCTCCGCATCCTCAGTCGAGCTCGACGGCTTCGGAAGGAGAATCAGGCGGCGCGTCAGTAGCGTCAGAACCTCCCACCGCGCCGCAGTCGCCACCAGCTGCACCGCGTGGCGGTCGCGCCTCCATCCCGACGAGCTCGAGCCCGCGCAGCTCGCGAGGCTGACGGACCTGAAGGAGTCCAACGCTTAAGGCCTAACGTGCCCGGTCGACATTGTTCGCCAACGTCGGCTGCTCACGGTAATCACTTCGACCATCTGTAAGAGACCGTTTCTCTGCTATCTGTTTGCTACGTACACTGACTTAACCGAGTGTACCGGTCGCGTATAGCACTATATGTCTTTCTACAATATAATCATTAATGTTTCGTGTGTTTTCACACAATATTCGTTAACTGTTTTATTTATCTGTGCAAACTATCAAGAGTATTCTAACATTTATCTGTGGTAAAGTTAGTGTTAAATATTTATTTACCTAGTAAAATTATATTATATGAATCTAACTAGGTGTTACAGTAGGCAATGTTTATTGATGTTAGTACTCAATATAAATTTATGGGATTATTTGTAAGAGTTTGTTGAGAAAACGTTGTGAATTCAAACTGCGATCACATTGGAGATCAGTTACGTTTAGAGGAACGGTTGCGGCGTGTAGATTATTGTGTATATAGCTAGCAAATACTTATTACTAATAAGTACAGGAGCGTGTCCTTGTATTGCGATAGAGGGAATGTTAAGTGCAGTAGAATGCAACTTCGTGTTCACCGAACGATAAGGGGCGAAACCTACATTTAGTAACACAGCGATGACAGATTCATTTAGGTATCAGTTCTGTAACACCTTTCTAAAAGAATCTCGACTAAATGAACCATGTTGTGCAAAGACAGTATTCTATCAAGAAAACTTACATAAACAACTGTTATCGTTTCAAATTGATTTACCTACGTTGAGAATATAACAATCAATTCTTTAAATGTAGGTAAAACATTGATCTCCAAAGAAACTAAGTCTTTAAAAGTATACATAGCATTTACGACTTCTGTTAATAAGCTGTCTGTGTAGTGGTCCAGCCTCAAGTCAATCGGTCGAGACGCGAGTGACGTGTAGCGTTAGGTAACTTAGGTCCATTTAGGTCGGATCAGAAAGTGGACGGGCGTGACAGATTGTTATGTACTATAGTTAAACCGCCGTAAGCTTGGCCCTCCTGATGGTTTGCGGACGCGGGGCGGGTGATGCGCTCGGCTATACATGACACGATGTACTAACTCAATATCTTCAGATTTATTTGTTTGAGATTTAATCTACACACGATGTAATAAAAATCGAATTTATTTTATATTTATTTCCATGTATTATAATGTCAGTGTATTGTAAGTTTTTATGATTAATTGTAAAATTTAATACTGTAAAATAATTTTAATAAAATCACCTTATCTTCATCATGTAAATTATATTCAGATACAATTTAAAAATTAAGTAAAATAATAAATATTCTTTATTTGAACTTTAACAGTAGAACCTCTGTAAGCCGAACTTCCAAGTTTTTAAATCTTTTTGTGACGCAGAGTCGGCAGATTATCCATGTTGCAAAATAATACCGTGTGTAACAGTCTTAAGAAAAATAACACGTACAACCATACTTTCACGTCAGTCACTGCCGGCGGACAGCGACGCACTAGCTAATTGGTTGAATGCACCCCCGCCCCGCGTCCCCCAAACCATCAGGAGGGCCAAGCTTACGGCGGTTTAACTATAGTTAATACAGGAGACATCACGCCATCGCGCTTGGACCCATCTAGCAGCTGAAATAGAATATTAGAGCGGCTCATTACGCACCGCGTGGCGGTCTCGCCCCGCTCGCAGTCTAACCCAAACTTTAATGACCATTTTCGAAATGAATTGATAATTAAAATCCCACACAATCTTGCAAACGCTCAGTGAGAGGGTTAGGTGCATATAGGGTGCTAACACCCTGTTGTTAAATATTTACACTTAACGCATCAGAAATTCGAAGTTACTAACGAAGCTAACTTAAGTTGAACCTCAAAAGGAATATCGGTTCTTATTTTGTTGTGAGAATATTGATATTATGAGATCAACTTACAGGTCTGAGGGTTGTTACAAGAACTATTTTTTCGTTACCTGATCTCATAATAATTATTATAATTCAAACTTTTGCCTAACAAGTATATACACTTATTATTATATACATATAATAAATACCCATGGATATGTCGCCGCGTACATAAAAAATTGACAGAAACTTGAGAGAGATATTAGAAAAAACAAATTGTTTCTGTTTAGCAATCTGTTGCACGTTTTAAAATGGGTATGGGTATGTAGGTATACCTTCAGAAGAACGTGTAGCTTATCAGATTTTCTACCAAAAATTAATCTTTGTTAAACATTCAATTATTTACATAATGAAATGAATATGAACTCTGTTTAGAATTTAATAAAAATACGTCACGCGTTAACAAGACAATGAAAACGTGCATTGAAATTGCTTGTTAAACAATATAAATAAGTAGTATAATAAGTGGTAATTCCACAAATAAATTCATGCAACTGTTGATCGACTTCAACAATTTTTTATAGAAATTTCAATTCTATTTTAAGTGAGTACAGTTCAATTGTGATCTCAAATGGCGCTAAAAATAATAATGACTTCACGACTAATGATTTTTAAAGGAATTGTAATTAGTATTATTTTTTGTTACCAACTGTTGATAGTTTGAATTCGGAACCGGATCTGCAAAGAGACGAATACTCGTGGTAGTCCCAGGACAGAAATCGAATATTGTTTTTTCTTCATAGTTGCAACTGATAGTTACTTGGATCACACTTATAGGAATTATTTTATGGAACATACTCGATACGTAAGAGTTTAATGTTAGTGCATTATTTGGGTAAATAATATTATAGTGGCATATTTCGAAACCTTGACATTTTATTTTCCGATATCATCAAGATCAAGGAACTATAGATAAATATATATAAATATAGTGTTCAAAATATTGCCCTAAATAATTACCCAATTAACAATTACAGCACATTCTATTTAAACAATTTATTAATGTCTTAGACTAATATTTATTAAGTGTTAGTTGATCAACTGTGTGTTACTTTATTATATAGGTACCCTATATTTTGTTACTTTATAATATGTTAATTATATTCTATGTTATTGTTAAATACACATTATAACAATTGATAAACATTAAAATATTTTAGACAAACTTAGCTCAAAACTGAATATGATTACAATGAGTTTATGAAGCATATAGTAATAGTATTAAATAAATTAAAACCCAGTGTAAGTCCAATTGTACCAACTTATGCACACAGATAATGGAGTTCATTACATAACTTTCAAAAAGGATCTGTCAATTTTTACTGGTCCGAACTAAACTGAACTATTTTACAAACTATTAATTTACAATAACATGCCTGTATGTAGTATTATAACTACCAATCAAGCATCTCTCTTATGTCAAACCATACGTCAAATAGACAATGACAGGAGATATTTAAAAAACAAAATTCCCTTCACATTACTAATATTACTAAATGCTTTACAAACTCCACAAACTATATTAATGTCAACTAAATCATTGTTAAATTCCTGTTTCGTTGTAAAATATCAATTTAAATACTCACTTGATGTTATTTACTCAGTATTTGAATCGCCGTTGCTTTTTTGATGTCAAATGTTTGAAAACAGTAAGTACCTGTGTTTTTAGCTCAACCGTGTTTCATGTTTTTAAATGCAAAATATAATAAGAGGATTATAGCACTCTGTAGTTTTATATAACTGTAATAATAAATTACCAGTTATGTCAAATGTAATACGAAAATATTAAATTTGTTTGAAAACAATTTAATTATATTTACAGCATATTTCACAATTACCAAAAAGTATTCGGCAATTTAAGAAATGTGAAACACAAACGATACCTACGTCTGAAGATATAACCTAAAGTGTATGTTTCACAATCGCCAAAAGGATTTTGAAATACATTGCCGAATTATTATTTTTTGGGGATTGTGATACAATATAAATTAATAAGTGTTGCTTTTTCTTTAGTAAACTGAATTAATAAACTTACTTAGCTGAGATTATGCGAATTACTAAATGATCATAAAACTTGTCACTGTATAAGCTTGTGTGTTAAAATCAGTATTAAATTAACGATAATAAATAATAATCTGTGTACTAACTCTTTGTACTGTTACCATTTTGTATCACATGTACCTTTGAACTTACAATAAATATATCTAGACACAAGGAATAAATGTTGTTAGTGTCCATACTAACCCGAACACCCGATATTACTAAAGTAATTTTAGTACGCTTACGTAAATTAGATTGAATTTGAATTTGATTGAATTTGAATTTGAATTAGATTGCATCGAAGTTGATTAGCCACTAGCCAGATATTCAAAAAAATTCCATACGAGAACAGAACGTTCTGAGAACTTGTGCAAATCCTTCGCTCAATTTAGGATCGCTACATTGGGTTTAATGACGTCACACGATTAGTTTTAGTATTGACAGTTACAGTTGTCAACGATAACTTAAGCGATTGGTTTATCTCTGAGCCCTGAGATTTGTTTAAACAGAGAGGAAACTCGCTTTTATCTTTCATTAAATCCTCTGTTTAATTCTTGAAGAATACATCGAGGAAACGAAAAAAGTAGTAACTTTTAAATAACTAAAAACAAATTGAATGATTCTATATTATGAAGCTTCTATGAAATACTTTGATCGATTTAATGGTACCACAAGAAGTCCCCTATGCCTTGATATTTATAATAGGTACCTACATTCATACTTATTGAACTTTTGATGGAAAATGAATTAATTTAAAAGGGGGATTAATAATATATTAATCCCCCTTTTAAATTAATAACCTGTGCACTCTCATACAATGGTTGAAGTCAAAGGCTATACACAACTTTTGAACAGATAATTTCCCGTAATCTCAGCGTGTTACATATGTAAGTAATTAGACTAATAGATATACTGTTTAGTATTCAAATATTTATACATAGAAGTTAGAGACTTATTATAAACTAATATACTAAACGGTAGACGGCTGTACCGCGTGCAATGCAAAGATAAAATTACGGCAAGGCATTAAAATAAAAATATTAAAAATAGGTA